AGTGGGATGGTATTTGGAGATGGGGCCTTTGGGAAGGGACGCGGTCACAAGGGCGGAGCCGTCGTGAAGGGGATTCGGACCCTTATACGGAGAGACATTAAATAACTCGCTTCGTGTTCTTCTGGGTCGTGTGAAGATATAACAAGACGACCTATGTATGAGCCAGGGCATGACTCCTCCCCAGACACCGGCTCTACCAACACTCTGACCTTGGACTTCCCAGCCTCCAGGACTATGACAAATAAATATGTGTTGTTTAAACCACCCTGTCTATGGTAGTTTTGGGATAGCAGGGTTTGTCTGGGGAGACTGGCCGTCCAGGATACAAATGGGTGGAAAAGTTCAGTCTGTGGGGGAAAGAAATAGGAAGGCCTTATTTGGCCACAGGTCCAAGCCTTGTTCTCCAAGCAGCACTACTAACCATAAAGCTGATATTATTTCTACCTGACATCTGGGTCTATTTCTAAATTGGTTCAGAACTCAGAAGGGAAAAGAGATATAATTAATTATCAACCATGTGATTAATTTTCACCTTCATAAACCCCAACAGATAGACGTCTATTTTATTTCACTGGCAGACAAACCCATTTCAGGCCGGCAGGAAAAGGATATTTTGCAAAATCAAATGAGGTTACAGCTGTGAGTGACCTTAAAGATGATCCGGGCCAGTATCTTCATTTTTGTGGATGAAAAGATAACACAAATGAAAGGGTCAAGTGACATAATCCATGTGAAATTCTGTGGAAGATCAGAATGCAAACTATTCACATGATCAGTCGTTTGGGGAGTGGTCTTAAGAAGCCGTAAACCCCAGAGGGGCACCTGGGTGGCGCAGTCGGTTAAGCGTCCGACTTCAGCCAGGTCACGATCTCGCGGTCCGGGAGTTCGAGCCCCGCGTCAGGCTCTGGGCTGATGGCTCAGAGCCTGGAGCCTGTTTCCGATTCTGTGTCTCCCTCTCTCTCTGCCCCTCCCCCGTTCATGCTCTGTCTCTCTCTGTCCCAAAAATAAATAAAAAACGTTGAAAAAAAATTAAAAAAAAAAAAGAAGCTGTAAACCCCAGAATTAAAAACAGATTATAGATAACACAGAAAATAGATTGTAGATGAAAACTAAGCAACTCCAGAGGGAGAGAAATTTTCCTAAGCAAAAGTATTACCTCCAGGAAACATCTTCAAACCACAAAGCAATCAATAGTTTAGAGGTGATTATTTTCTTTTTTTCAATTAGCAAAAAATCCCTATCTTAGGTCAATAAGATTGCTTGCCCACTCTCTTGAATACGAGATGGAGAGTCAAAAGAAATAAGCTTCCCCCCTCTCCCCTAATCCTGTCCACCTGCCATAATCAGGTCCTCTTTGTTAGGGATGTTCACTTCCTATCTATTAACCAGGCAGGACCCCACTGGCAAAGCAAGAGTGACGGGCACCTCAGGACATATGACAAGACATCTGAGACCCTGGGGCCAAACAGCCATCTCTGGTCTTATCACCCTCAATCATCAGAGTACACAGTTTTGCCTTTTAGAAAGCAAGTGGCCCTGGGTAAGTTGGAGAGAATTCACTGTACCGTGTCTCTTCCACTAAATACAGAAGGCATGGGACAGGTACTTGGAAGACTCTAAAATGTGTACGGTAGCAGGCAGACTGGGGAAGACCAGAATTCAAATACTGCCAAACCATATCCTCCATGATCTGAACTCAACACACCGGAAAGAGGCACCAGGGCGCAGACAAAAGAGCTCCTGGGGACACCTAGTAGTTCTGGTTCCAACATCAAGAAAGGACGCTACAATCTCGAGTATGAAAATGCTCCGGTTTTCCCTTCCTCTTCTTTTTCCTTTTCCTCTTCTCTCTCCTCTCCTTCCTTTCTTTCCCTCCCCTTTCCTCTCTTCTGTGTTCCGGCCCCCAGCGATCTAGTGGTAGTGACTGCCTCAGGAGCCAAAACGATGAGGGCAGGCAACCTACCTCCGCATTCGACGCTGTCATTCCCAAAGGCTGAGACCACCAACGCCCCGCCAGCCGCCTTTCTTCTTTCTTTGTCTTCTCTCTGCTTGGCCAGCGTAGGCCAAGTCGTGGAAGCGCACGAAAGGGCGAGATTTTCAGCCCGAGACTGAGAAGTGGTCCCAGGGAATCAGAAAGCACCGGGAAATCAGGGAGAGGAAGGAGTTTGGCAAAGCAACTCCATAAAGTTTTCTTTCTCTGAATAAATTCCTGGGCTGGGCGCTGGGGTGGCTCAGTCAGTTAAGCACCTGACTCGTGATTTTGGCTGAGGCCATGAACTCATGGCTCGTGAGGTTGAGCCCCGCGTCGGGCTCTGCATTGACAGTGCGGAGCCTGCTTGGGATTCTCTTCCCCGACCCACAGCCCCTACCCTGCTTGCTCTCTCTCTCTCTCTCTCTCTCAAAATAAATAAATAAAATTAATTTATAAAAAAATTTTAAAAAAAAATTCCTGGGCTCACCCTCAATCTGTACATGCAGGAATCTGATCTTAATTAGCATACCAATACTTTGAGAACTCTCCCCAGGTGCCAGACTGACCATCGGGTGACACACACACGCAGACCCAAAGAGCATTGCCAAAGGCTTTGAAAACCGGACTGACGTGAGAACCAGAGCCCTCAGAAGGCCAACTAGTGGTGTGGAACTCGCAGCCTGAACCTAACCAAGCTGAATGAACACGAAAACACAAATAACATTTTCCCTAGGCACTAAGCAAGAACCTAGAGTCTCTTCACATAATATTCAGAATGCATAGAATGCTATCCACAATTCCGCGGCATATGAAGAATCAGGGAAGTTCCAATTCCCTTGGAAAACGCAACCAACTGAAGCCAACCCAGCAACAACACGGATGTTAGAATGATCTGACAGAAACGATGGTAAAGACGCACCAACCAGCGATCGTGAACACTGCTGAAACCAATGGGTAAGACAGAAAGCCTCAGGCAAGAAACAGATGCCGTGAAACAAGAGCCAAATGGAAATTCTGGAATAACCAACGTAACATAAAAAGTACCAAAAACTCTGACGGGCTCAGTAGCAGAATACGACAGAAGAACGAAGGCCAGTGGCAGATCAGCTTTGAGCTGGGTGCCCGTTTATCGCTACTTTCTCACGAATTTTCTCTCTGTTTTAATCAACTGGTGCTGCAGAAGAAGCCACATCACAATGTAGTGGATTAAACTGGAGACAATTTATCATTTCTCTCAATTCCACGGGAGGGCCAGGCAGCTTCTCTGCTGATCTTGCCTGGATGCATTCACGTTTCTGCATTCAGCTGGTGGCTAGACAGCAGGCCAAGGTGGCCCCACTCACAGGACTGGCAGTCGGTGCTGGCTGTTGACTGGAGGGCCTCAGCCCTCTTTTATGTGACCTTTCAACCCCCAGTAGGCTAGACCGGGCTTCTTCACTGAGTACGGTAATCTCAGGGTTCCAAGGGGGTAAGGCCAGGAGCCACAAGGCCCCTTAAGCCCTAGGCTCTGGAATCCACATGATGTGACCTCTGTCATCGTCTTTGGTGACAGCAGATCATACGAACAGCACAGAGATAAAAGTAAAACATTAGACTATCTCTTGATGAAAGGGAAAGCTATAGGACTTTGCAAATAGGCGTGGACACGAGGAGCCATGAGTCATTAGGATCATTATTTCAACGTTCTACCATACCCTTCCGGAGGAGCTAATACTGCAGATATCAGAGGCTGTGGTCTACAATTTACTGTGGCAGTAGAATCAATTGCGACGCTCAGAGAAGTTTAGTGTTTTGCCTAAGATCACACAGCTCATTAGGGAGAAAACATAAAACTAAATCCTGGGACTGCTGATTCCACTGACCGGTCTTCATGCCTCCGAGATGGGCCATATGGTATTTTGAATGCTGCCTTTGTATTTAACAGGTAGGAGAATAATAATGGACAATACTTTCATAACGTGTTAGCAGTCATTCATCATTCAGATGCATTTTGTGAAGGAAATATGTGCAGGCACTTGTGGAGTCTATGAAAAAAAATCGAGGGACAGTGACTTAATAAGAGCAATTCATTAGGTAGGAATAGAGGTCCTAACCCATTCCATGCACCAAGAGATGGTCATTCAGTCTCTTGAGTTCCTGGCACTCGAAACTTAATTTCTTTATTGAGGTAAAACTCACATAACGTCAAAGGAACCATTACTCATTTTAAATTGTAAAATTCAGTGCCATCAGGCACATTCCCTGTGTTATGTAACTGTTACCTGTCTCAAGTTTCCAGCCATTTCTATCACCATAAAAACAAACGCCGTACCCATTAAGCACCACTCCCCACCTCTCCCTTCCTCTGCCCCTGGCTCCCACGAGTCCGCCTCCTTTCTGATTTGCCTATTCTGGATGTTTCATGTAAATGGAATCATCTTTATGAGCTTCTGTCACTCATTTCACTCAGCAGGTTTTGTGGTTCACCCATGTTGATGCACGTATCAGCACTGCATTATTTTTGTGGATAAGGTAAATATGAACGATGCCCACAATATTCCGTTGTATGGACGTACCACATTTTGTTTTTCCATTCATCAGGTGATAGGCATTTGAGTTCTTTCCACTCTGGCTATTGTGAATCGTGTTGCTATAAACATTCATGTCCAGGGGCGCCTGGGTGGCGCAGTCGGTTAAGCGTCCGACTTCAGCCAGGTCACGATCTCGCGGCCCGTGAGTTGGAGCCCCGCGTCGGACTCTGGGCTGATGGCTCAGAGCCTGGAGCCTGTTTCCGATTCTGTGTCTCCCTCTCTCTCTGCCCCTCCCCCGTTCATGCTCTGTCTCTCTCTGTCCCAAAAATAAAATAAACGTTGAAAAAAAAAATTCATGTCCAAATAGTTGTTTGAATGCCTGCTTTCAATTCTTTGGCATGTATAATTAGGGGGTGGAATTGCTTCATACGGTGGTTCTACCAAAGCTTAATTTTGATTCTCATTTTTGACAAGCCTTCTTAAAATGGTCTGAGATAATAACATGCTGCTGGCATTACCTTGTCTCTAAAGTCAATGTGGTTCTGGAGGATGGCTCTGTGGTAAGTGGCTGTCCTTACAAAATCTTGCATCATGTTCTGCTGCTGGGAAATGCAGCCATAAAACTGTGGGGGAAAGACAAGGACAGGGACAGTCAACAACCCATAAGTCATCACCTTCATGCACACATGGTTCTGAGAGCCACCTTGGTCAAGGTAGGCTTAACCTAATACACAGGCAAGCTGAGGCTCTGAAAGACACAGTGACCTGTCCTTCTTAGCTCTGTTTGTAAGGTCTAGAACTGTAAGTGGACCCCAGACTTTCAGCAGCTGCTTCACGAGATAGATTCAGGCCTCGATGTTGGTCAGACAAGTGCCCAGGGTCCCCCCTCAAAGCAGAGGCTATGAGGGTCAAGAGTAACAGCGATAAGAGAGAGAAAGGCCAGAGCCCAAAGGGATGTCCCTAATGAGTCTCATGAGCCAGGAGAGAAAAATAGGACTTGGACAGAGGTCTTGAGTGAGAGCGGGAGGAGAGCAGGAGGTAGTGACGATGATCATCCTGATCAGGCAAGCCAGCCCTCTAGCCCGCTCAGGTGTATCCGCAGGTGTGCGTCACATGGAAACTCAGTTCCACCCGGAACAACTTTCCTGACCTGGAAATACTGCACGGCTGATGCCTCTTCTGTCCGCTGGCTGAACACCGAGGACTCCTTTTTCTCATTCCGGCAGCTTTTCAAGGTATTTGAAAATGAGCTGAGATCTGCAGGGACAAAAAGCAGACCCGTTTCTACACGGAGGGAAGCAAAGAATTCACCACTACGCTCTTTACAAAATTCTGGGAAAACAGTAGAGGATTCAAAGGGCAGACGGCACCTGGGTGGCTCAGTCAGTCAAGCATTCATCCAAGTCTTGATTTCGGCTCAGGTCGTGATCTCGCAGATCCTGGGTTTGAGCCCTACATCGGGCTCCACGCTGGCAGTGCAGAGCCTGCTTGGGATTCTCTCTCTTTCCCTCTCCACCCTCCCTGGCTCATGCCCTCTCTTTTTCTCTCTCTCTCTCTCAAAATAAATAAACTTAAAAAAAAAAAAGAAAGAAAGAAAGGGCGCCTGGGTGGCTCAGTCAATTGAGCACCCAACTTCAGCTCAGGTCATGATCTCACGGTTCATGGGTTCGAGCCCCATGTCGGGCTCTGTGCTGACAGCTCAGAGCCTGGAGCCTGCTTCGGATTCTCTGTTTCCCTCTCTCTCTCTCTGCCCCTCCCCTGCTCACGCTCTGTCTCTCCCTCTCAGAAAAATAAATAAACATTAAAAAACTTAAAAAAAAAGAATATTCAAAGGGCGTGTTCATCCCCAAACACACACATGATAAGGAACGGCAAGGTGGCTATGGGTGCCACTCTGAGATGTGACGCCCTTACGTACACTTGTCACACATATTTGCATTCACCAATATCACATGAGAGAGCTTAATGGAACACATAGAGACTGGGCTCATGGGATGCTCCTCGTCCCACATTCACAAAGCTAAACAGGTTTATTCTAAGTAAGTCCTCTGGGGAAGGTGATTGTTGATGATAAGGAAAAAATATATATGTGAATACAAAATATGCATATAATGGATATATATACATATGTATATCTATATAATCTCATTCTATTGTAACAACAGGGTTCTTTTTCACATTTCTCTAGGTGTACAGAGAAAAAGGAAAATAATTGAAGATATGTGAATACAAGGCAAAGCTTTCTATTATTTGAGGAAAAAAATACATAAGTGAAGGCTCAAAAAAAATCCCCAAAGTGGTATCACTAATAGCTAACACAGCCTACAAGGCTGTCAAGTTTTGTGACTTTTGCCTTAGAAATGTCTTTGAGGGGCACCTGGGTGGCTAAGGTGGTAAAGCGTCTGACTTCAGCTCAGGTCAGGATCTCACGGTTTGTGGGTTTGAGTCCTGCCTCAGGCTCTCTGCTGTCAGCACCCGGCCCACTTTGGATCCTCTGTCCCCCCTCTCTCTTCCCCTTCCCCACTCTCAGTCTCTCTCAAAAATAAACACAAAATTTTTAAAATAATTTAAAATTTAAAAATTTTTCAAAAATAATGTTTAAAAATGCAAAAAAATTTTGCGTAACTACAAAATCAGTGTTCAAAAAGTGTAGAAAATTCACAAAATGCAACAAACCCAAATGAAGAAAATAAACATAATCATCTCATAATGCAAGCTATTAATTACTGTTCACGTTTCGGTGTATATTCTCTTGGGGTGTGTGTGTGTGTGTGTGTGTGTGTGTGTGTATGTGTGTGGAAAAATTCCTCTTTGCACAATTTCATCCCATTATTTTATAAATACATCTTTTAATTTAAGATACTATCAGGGTACCTGGGTGGCTCAATTGGTTAGGTGTCTGACCTGATATGGTCTCAGGTCAGGATCTCACAGTTCGTGGGATCAAGACCCACGTCAGGCTCTGTGCTGACAGTGGAACCTGCCTGGGATTTTCTCTTTCTCCCTCTCTCTCTGAAAATGAATAAATAAACATTAAAAAAGAAGAAGAAGAAGAAGAAAAAAGTACATGAATAACTTCCCGCATTTTTAAGTAGTCTCTTGACATGACTGTTAATGGATGTATGTTTCAGAGGGACATGCCATTTCCCTACAGTTGGACCCCAAGTCCCTACCCTGGCGTACAATTTTGGGATGACAGAGCCCAGCACCTGTATCTGTAACTCTGTCCCTGGTGACTCTGATGACAAGACATTCTTGAGAACTCCAGTTAACAGAACCTCCGTACAAAATAAGTATCCTAACTCTATATACAGTAAAAGAGACTCTAATTCTTTACAATTTCCTCCTACGTGGGCCATCAACAGACGAATCGGTATTTCTGTTCCCCCGTGACATTTACCTTTTGACTGTTTTCTTTTACAATTAAAAAAAAAAAAAAACCTCTGTAAATAATGTGATCATATGAAATTTAACAATTCAGAAAAGAAAGCCCAGAAGCAAAAAGAATTCCGAGGTATAACCACTAATAATATTTTGGGATGAAATCTCCCAGTAATTTTTTTCATATATTTTTATCTCTCTCTGTATTATTTACAATAGTATTGAACTCTCCTGCTTTACAACCTGTTTTTTTCTTTTTTCCTTTTTTTTTTGAGAGTGTGTGCGTGCACGCCTGTGAGTGGGGAAGATACGGGGTAAGGGAGACGGAGAATTTCAAGCAGGCTCCATGCCCAGTGTGAGGCCGGACACGGGGCTCGATCCCATGGCCCTGAGATCATGACTTGAGCCAAAATCAAGAGTCGGATGCTTAACCAACTGAGCCACCCAGGCCTTCCTACAGCCTGCTTTTTCATGAACAATAGTTAGCTTTTTCTGGTCAGTACTTTTCATATAGAATCTCTCAACTACACATAAAGCTATAGAGCCCATTAATTACGGTTTCCTTTTGGTCTTGTTCTTCCGATTTGTTCCCAGAGGCAACAGTTTCACAGACTTAGGAGATCTTAATTTCAACAAGATTTCTAACCATGTTCCTTCAAATTTTGGACCTAATTATTTCCTTGTCAACTTCTACAGGGGGTCAAAAGTACCAACTCTATTCAACTACAATTTTCTATATTTGCATTTTATTCCTTTCAAAAGACATTGGGTACTATTTTGAAACTTCAAAAATGTTTTAAAACTTTGTTAGATAAAAGCTTGCAACAAACCAGGTATAAAAAGGGAACACACCTCAACACAGCAAAAGCCATACCTGACAGTCCTCCAGCTGACAGCATACTCAACAGTAAAACATTGAAAGCTTTTCCTCTAAGACTGGGAACGAGACAAGGATGCCCACTGTCGCCATTCCTTTTTAACAAAGTGTTAGAAGTCCTAGCCAGAGCAATTAGGCAATACAAGGAAAGAAAAGGCATCCAAATTGGAAAAGGAGAAGCAAAATTGTCTCTATTTGCAGACAACATGATATTATCTATAGAAAACTCTAAAGACTCCACCAAAAAAAAACTGTTATCACCAATGAATTCCGTAGAGTTGCAGGATACAATATCAATATACAAAAATCAGCTGTGTTTCTAAACACCAACAATGAACCACTAGAAAGCAATCCCACTTCAACCTGCGTCAAAAAGAATAAAATATTTAGGAATAAACGGAATCAAGGAAGTGACACCAGCATCTACATGCTAAAATCTGTAAGACGTTGATGAAAAAAGTTGCAGATGACACAAATGAGGGGAAATATATCCTGTGCTCATAGTTTGGAAGAATTAATATGACGAAAATGTCCCACACTACCCAAAGCAATCTACTGATTCAGTGCCATCCTATCAAAATTCTGAGGGCATTTTTCACAGGAAAACAATCCTAAAATTTGTATGGAACCACAAAACCCCCCAACAGCCAAAGCACTCTTGAGATAGAAGAACAAGGCTGGAGGCATCACACTTTCCGATTTCAAACTATATTACAAAGGTGTAGTAATTAAAACATTATGGCTTTGTCATAAAAACACACAGATGAATGGAACAGAAGAAAGAGCCCAGAGATAAACTCATGTTTATATACTCAACCAAATTACAACAAAGAAACGAAGAAGGTGTAATGGAGAAAGGATAGTCTCTGCAATAAATGATGCTGGGCAGAGTGGACATCCACACACGCCTCTGGATATCCACTGGACCCCTTACACCATGCCTAACAGTCAACTCAAGATGGATTAAATTGTGGAACGTAAAATCTGAAACCATAAAGCTTCTAGAAGAAAATGGGGCAAACACTTCAACACTGGTCTTGGCAATGATGTTTTGAATTTGACACCAAAAGCAAAGGCAACAACAGGAAAAATAAAGAAGCGGGATGACATCAAACTAAAAAGCTTCTGTGCCACAAAGGCAACACCAACAAAGCGAAAAGGCAACCTACAGGATGGGAGAAAATACTGGCAAATCACACATCTGATAAGGAGTTAATATCTAAAAAATATATCAAGAACTCACACAGCCCCAGAGTAGGAAAAAAACCTAATCAATCTGATTAAAAACTAGGCAATGGAATTGAACAGGCACTCTTCCAAAGGCATGCAGATGGCCATCAGACACGTGAAAAGACGCTTCATATCGCTCATCATCAGGTAATGCAAATCGAAACCACAGCCAGACATCACCTCCCACCTGTCAGAATGGCAATCATCAAAAAGCAGAAGATAACAAGTGTTGGTGAGGATGTGGAGAGAAGGGAGCCCTCGTGCACTGTTGGCGGGAATGTAAACCGGTGCAGCCGCCACGGAAAACAGTAAGGAAATTCCTCAAGAAGTTAAAATAGAACTAACCGTCTGATCCAGCAATCCCGCTTCTGGGTATATAACCCAAAAGGAAGTTAAATCATTATCTCAGCAATGTCTGCACTCCCATGTTCATTACAACGATATTCACAGGGAACGAGCCTAAGTGTCTGTCAACAGATGAATGGATAAAGATGTGAGAAATACTTTATGTTAATATATATATGTATATTACATATTATATAATATCTGTTCCCCACAATGAAATATTATTCAGCCATGAGACAGAAGGAAATCCTGCCATTTGCGACCACATGGATAGAACTTGACAGCATGACGCTAAATGAAGTAAGACAGAGGAAGACAAATATAGCACGTTATCGCTTACACGTGGAATCTTCTTTTAAAAAGTCAAGCTCCTAGAAAGAAAGAGAGAGTAGAAAAGTGGTTGCCAGGAGCTGTGGGGCAGAATAGGAAAGGGATATAAATGTTCAGCTACAAGATGCACAGGGTCTGAGGATCTAACGTATAGCATGGCGACTACAGTCGCTAACAGTGGATTGTATAATTGAAATCTGCTGAGACTATTGAAATGTTCAAATGTACCAAAAAATGAAATGAAATGAAATGAAATGAAATGAAATGAAATGAAATGAAATGAAATGAAATTTCTCAGACATACTAAAAAAAAAAATACCAGAAGATATTAGATAATATTTACCCAGCTCTGGTCTCTTGGCCCCTGTCCAATTCCCTCTGATCTCACAGAGACAGCCAGCTGTGGTCTGTGTCACCCATGTGTGAGTTCTTTGAATCCTGGGCATCTAAGCTGTTTGGGCTTTCAAAGCCTACAGTAAATTCATTTGTTCAACACACAGTCTTTTGAATATTCTCAACCGTCTCCATACTTTGGGGGAAATCTGAGCTCTTAACACAGCCAAAAATAAAGGGTGCCTAATTTAGCAAACAGGATGCGTGACACATGGAAAAGTATCATTTTTGGTTAACAAACAAGATTATGACTATCAAGTAACACGGCTAGTCTTGTGTCACTCACCAACTGACTCCAAAGGAGACAACCGTCTCCAAAGGAGACGACGGCCAAAGAGAAGTTCCAACAAAGTTTTAGGTTACAGCAGTACCCATGCAACACATAACCAGCCTTCCAAAATAAACAGTAATTGTACCTATCAGCTCTATTATGTTTGCTATTTGAAAAATCCAATATTATTACACTACCGACACTACATTTCAGAGTCTCTTGTGTAACAAGTTTACGATGTATTTATGGGATTTAGAAACTAAGAAGTATCCAGGAAAGTGCAGGAAGCAGCATCAGTTAACTCCTGCCTATGATGATTTCTGTCCCAATGGCTGCCAGGAAAATGTTTTCTTTACAAGCCACCCTTACCTTTACTTTAAGTGGTTAAATGAATATGTACAAATAAAGAAAATGTCTGTGTTTCCATGCGAGGTATGAGGATTTTTAAAAAATCTGTTGTAATTATTTTTTTAACGTTTGTTCAGTTTGGAGAGACATAGAGAGACAGAGCACAAGCAGGGGAGGGGCAAAGAGGGAGACACAGAGACTGAGGCAGAGACACAGACACTGAGCTTCCCGACGCGGGGCTCGAACCCACGAACCGCGAGATCACGACCCGAAGGATTTTTTTTAAACACACTTTTAAAAGGACAAGAAATTTAATTGTTGACTTCTCCCTCCCCTCGGTGTCCAGAAGAAAGGACTCTGGAGGACACTGTGTTAAACGATCCAGGCCCCTCTAACAAAGTGCCGTAGAGTGGGTGATTTATAAGCAACAGAAATCCATCTCTCACAGGTCTGGAGGCTGGGAATTCTGAGATCAGGGTGCCACTCATGGTCAGGCCCCAGTGTTGCAGACGGCTCGCTTCTGGCGGTGTCCTCCCATGGTGAAAGTGGTAAGGGACCTCTCCGGGGTCTCTTTTATAATCGCTTCCCAAAGACCCCACCTTCAAATACCACCACATTGAGGATGAAGTTTCAAAATATGAACTCTGGGGAGACATAAACCTCCCGTCTGTGGCAATTCTCAGTGGAGGACCCAAAATGAGACGCAGCCAGACGCAACTTCTCTTCCTTGATTCTCCAAACTAGGGGGAGGGACTTTCGCCAAGAGGAGCGAGGGAATCTTTAAATCCAGCAGATACTTTTGCCTTTGGAGAACATTTTGGCAAGAAGCGCCTTTTTTTTTTTCTTTTTTTTTTTTTAATGAAAAAGCTTTTTGATCTGCAGGCATCATTTGTTTACAAGATGCCATTCATTCTGTAGGGCCAGGAAGGCTCCCAGAGGAGAGAAAAGAAAGGCCCGCTGTTTAGAACATAATTAAGTCTAAATGGATGTTCACGTTTGCATATTGGCTCCTTCTTCCGGCCGCTCAGGGTAGAAAAGGTGGGAGGAGAGGGGTCACAACCCGGGCTCTGGAATAAAGAGGTCCCAGTTGGGTAGATTCCAGAAGCGAAGCACAGGGCGGGGCGTATAGGAAGGAGGCAATGCCCTCTATTCCTAACAAAAGCCAAGTCCCTCCGGCAAGGCATGAATCGTGAGTCAAAAGGGGACTTCTTTCAAAGGACACACTTATCCACACTGGTTGTGAAGAGGGCAGCCGCTCTGGCTTAAACCGCCATGTTTTGTCATTTTCACCACAAACAAAAAGATGCAATTTTCTCTACCACGTAGACATTAACCGTGCTACAGCCATGGCTCTCATCATTCTCCTTTGATTCTCGAGCTCGATTTCGGCTTCTTCGCACCAAGCCATTACTTTTCAATTTCAGCATGCAGTCATACTCGCGGATCAATAGACTGCGGAGAGTCACCGTTTCCTTATTGTTGTTCCTTCCAAAAGACCAGATTGAAGGGATCTGTTTTTGTTTGCTCGCTTCTCTTAAATAGCTGCTATTTACAAGAGATACTGTCTGTAGTGCTTTCCATGCAGAGTTTATTTACCAAGCATCTTTCTTTGCAGAAAAGGGTAATACCTGTCTGACTGCATCACCTGTTCTGGCCACATGTCCCCAAATTGTACCAGAAAATACACAACTGACAGTATGATAATCGCGGTGTGGATTTCTTCTTCTTCTTCTTCTTTTTTAAATAATATGTCAAACTCTAAACACTGTAGCAGACATGCTTTGGGGCTATCGTGACTCATTTACCGACAGCCTCTTTTATTTTTTTCTCTAGCTCATCAGCTCAAGTTTGCCAAATCAAGCTCAGCGCACTGGGCACCTAAGGAAGCGATCTATTTTCCTGCAGTCAGTACACAAAGGAGACAACGAAGCAACGACTCGCCCCATTCAATTCTCCTTCCCCTAGCTTCACGGTCTGGGTGCCCCCCCTCTCGGGATGGAAATGGGTTAGGGAAGACTGCACTGTTCCTCCTATCTGGGCAGAGCTGGACAAACAGGTGTACCCATGGGGGCATCACTCGAGCAGTATGGGTAGGAGGCCAACAGCTGCAAGCTGGTCTTCTCTCTGAACATACCCCCCACACGTATACTTGCAGGGGACTCTGCTGCTGAGTGAAATTCAACTGAAGGACGGCCCTTCTTATTTTTCATACAAGCAGGTTTTCTTTTTTTGTTAAATTTTTTTTTCAACGTTTTTATTTATTTTTGGGACAGAGAGAGACGGAGCATGAACGGGGGAGGGGCAGAGAGAGAGGGAGACACAGAATCGGAAACAGGCTCCAGGCTCTGAGCCGTCAGCCCAGAGCCCGATGCGGGGCTCGAGCTCCCGGACCGCGAGATCGTGACCTGGCTGAAGTCGGACGCTCAACCGACTGCGCCACCCAGGCGCCCCCAAGCAGGTTTTCTTAGGAAAGTAGCAGAAGGATTTAGACCTAGAGTAGATTCCTTGAGCGGTCGACAGAGCACCATTACAGGATACTGGCTATTTCTGGGGCACTTGGGTGACTCAGTCGGTTAAGCGCCCGACTCTTGATTTCGACTCAGGTCATGATCTCACGGTTTGTGAGTTCGAGCCCTGCGTCAGGCTGTGCGTTGACAGCGTGGAGCCTGTTGGGATTCTCTGCCTCTGTCTCTAGTCCTCCCCCGCTCGCCCTCTCTCTCTCTCTCTCAAACCAAATAAACATCTAAAAAAAAAAGACACTGGATATTTCTATTGTACACATGGGAAAACTAGACAAACAGACGGCTTCACCAAACGTCCAGCTAATTTCTCTCTCATACTGTTTTTGTCTCCTTTCGGGGTAAAAAAAAAACCAAAAAACAAAAACAAAACAAAACTTGTCAGCATTCCTTGAAAGCAACTGCCAAATCAGCCTCTCTCAAAACAAAAGTACTGAGGCACTCTTAGAAACTGAATGTTCGACTCGCTTTGCTTTTCTCTCCGAGCCTTGCAATTTGCAATCCAAACCTGTAATTCATGATCCATATACCACTTACCTAACACTATTTTTGTCCAACCAAAACATTAGTACAAGGCACTGGGGAGAGCCGTTCGGGAGTATTTTCTATACCTGTTACATCTATAAATCTTTAGAGACTTCTGCAAAAAAAAAAAAAAAAGGGTCACAAATTTTATCAAGTTTCTGAGGCGGTTTTCATGCATATCTTAAAAACCAATTAAACACTTACTGAGATGATCAGCATTGACCTAAACATGTAAAATGGCCTCACCATTTGTGAAGGTAGGTTTGGAGGGAGGTTTATTCATTTGTTTGAAGGTTGAGCCAAGTCCCTCATCCCCGTGGGATCCTCATCCTCCCGCCCTGGTGCTCCACCGCCGACAGGAAAAGCCCACAATCTAAGCACTGTGTGGTCTCCAGTAAGCAGAAGGAACAGGGGTCAGCCTTGGACAGAGGGATAATTGACTGACCCCGCGCAGGACCAAGATTCTAAGCAAAGGACATGAGTGAAAACTCGTTGGTTGGCAAGTGGTGGAAATTCAGCTAAGTTGAACTGAAAGAGAAATGCTCTGGCTCACAAAACTGACAAATCAAGGATTAAAATTCCATTTTCAGGAATGGCTGTGTCCAGGATCTCAAAGGATAGTGCTGAGACACCCTCTCTCTACTTCTCCCTCTGTTTCCTAGCTCTGCCTCCCCAGCTTTCTATCACTGTCTCTTTCTCTCTTTCTTAATCCCTATTTCTCGCTTCAGGCTTCACGCTCAGGAGGACGAGATGACCCATCACAGAACAAGATTACCACCAGCGTCTCGGGAATGACGCCGCAACCACCCCAGCAGAGCCAATCTTTCTAAAACGTTCCAACAAGAGCCCCAGACCGAACCTTATTGAACCCTGTTCAATTAAAGACCCCTTCCTGAGTCTGTGGTTCTGGCCAGGGGTCCGTGCCCACTGACCAGACTCGAGTCAGCCCTGTCTGAACCCAAAGGAAAACTGGGCTTCTGTCAGCAGAAAAAAGAAGAGTAAGGACAGACCAAAGCACAACTGACCAGGGCTGAGAGAGAAGTGGAAACATGACAGAATAAATGGCAACGGGAAGTACAAGTGAGAAGATCTGTGTGCCTCAAGGGGCCAACTGGGGAAAGGTGGGCCATGGAAAACACACATTCAGCTGTGTGGCTTCTGCAGTGTTTGAGCTGTGGCTAGCCCAAACCCACGTTTTGCTCCCAGCAGCAGACTGAGTCAACACTTCCGGTCCTGGATCATGTTGCAGCCCTGATGTGGCACGTTTTTACCAGCTCCATATTCCTGTCCACACTCGCTGAGAGCCTCTGGCCCTGCTCACACCTCCTGGCATTCTGTTTCTACCACTGGATTCCCATATCCCACCCAGCAGAGCATCGGATCCTGTGTCCCGCCTTAGTTAAGAATGAGTTGCCGGTGGGGCGCCTGGGTGGCTCAGTCGG